GAACAGGTATTGACACGTTGTTTGCTTGCCTTGTTTTTTGTAGGGTCACTGCTTTCCTCGCAGCGACATCAGCTCGCGCTTGCGGGCAGGTCAAAAAACACGGCTGAACAGGGTGCGTGGTCTGTAACCTTCTTCACAGGGAAAATGATGCGCTCTGTGATCCTAAACCCTTCTAAGCCCTAAACTCTAAACCCTAAACCCTGAACCCTTAACCTAACCCTAAATTCATCAGCGTTATGGTACAGGGAGCCCCCCAGGGCCAGAAGCGGGAAACCATCCTAGGACATTCTGGATGGACTGGTCACTCTCAAGAAAGTCGACGACCCCGGAGTAGGCCCTTATTCCCTTTCTTTCAGGTTGAGGGGGTACCTTGCAAGTGCCCTTTAAAACAAAGGGCACCCTATGTATACCCAGTATACTCTTGGGTCTAAGTCGGGAAAGTTTCCTGAACCAAGATGAAAACAAAACCGTCTCTGTGCTGGGGACCCGAAGCCCTAAACCCTAAACGCTGACGCCTGCCAGGCCCTTGCTGCGGCTTCATTACACGCCACCAGGGGGAACTACCTTGAAGGTTGAGGCCAGCAATCAGGGTTTAGGGTTTAGGGTTTAGGGTTTAGGGTTCAGGGTGGGCCCCTTGTTTGGGCGTCTATTGTACTATCTTCCTTGGAGTTTTTGTAGCTTGGCTTCGTCCACTGTTTCACTGCTTAGGTTCAGGCCACGTGGGTTGTGAACCCAAGACAGAAACCCTAAACCCTATACCCTTAAGCCTCTAAACCCTATACCCCTGAACCCTAAACCCTAAACCCTAAACCCTAAACCCTAAACCCTAAACCCTAAACCCTAAACCCTATACCCCTGAACCCTAAACCCTAAACCACAAGCCTCTTCCCCTGGATCTGCAACCCCTCTGCCCCTCAGCCCCTCACTCCTCAATAATTTCAGGGATCTCTAGAAGGGACCCTGAATCTTACTCCCCCAAATAGCCCCTATGTAACCCTTGTATATACCTTAGTAGCCCCTAAACCCTAAACCCTAAACCCTAAACCCGAAAAGGACCTCTGAGGCCCCTTAGGAGAGTCCCTCCTTTTAGTCTCTTGGAGAGTCTAAACCTCTACTGGGGTGCCAAGTATTGTCTTGTTTCAGGGATAGGAGCCCTCATTATCAACAGAAAACACCACCAAAGCCCTTCTGAGTCCCAAACCGGACAACTGAGCAGCCTCAGTAGCCCTAAAAACCCTGCATAAACCCCAAAAAGCCCTGAACCCTAAATTAGGGGTCGGAATAATTACTAGCAGCATTCCCTTAAGCCCCCCCTTCACAATTAATACTAGCATACCCCCCAAGACCCCTCTTCTAACGATTAAGGCCCCCTATATTCCACTTGATCAGTCGCAAGCCCAGAGACTCCAATATCCCTTATTTAAGGAATATACCTTACATGATAGTAGGATCCCTAATATGATTTAAGGTATAATCCTTAATTAAGGGATATTGGAGTCTCTGGGAGGTGGGCTTGGATCAAAGTCTGGCCGCAGTAGAGAAGAGCTCGATGATCTCGACTCTGGACGGCTTCCGGCGTTCAAGGGGTGCTCTTGGGGTTGAAGGCTTTAGGACCCTAAACCCTAAACCCTAAACCCTAAACCCTAAACCTTAAACCCTAAACCCTAAACCCTAAGCCCTAAGCCCTAAGCCCTAAGCCCTAAGCCCTAGCGGTTTTAGAGGTTTAGGGCTTCGAGCTTGAGAGCCCCAAACCCGAAACCCCCCAGCTCGGGTGTGTCGAAGACTGGGGATCTGCGCAGTTCAGCTTCAAGCTTGATCCATGTGCTCTCCCTAAGCCCTTTCTGCCCAAAGAGGGTGGTTAGAGGTAGAGGGTTGAGGGTTGAGGGTTTAGGGTTTAGGGTTTAGGGTTTGGGGAGGGTTTGAAGAAAGTTTCCATGCATATAATATACCTTCATTTACTTGCATGGGGGTTTCCGAAATTTGGAGTACCTTATGGGGGGTCCTTTGTTATAAGGAATTCCTACTGTTGGGGCTCTACATTGAGGGTCCGTTCTTTTATTCGTAAACTCCCATATAACTCCGGCCTATGGCTACCCATGAACCCTTGAGAACGGGCATCGGCTTGGATCTCAACCCTGAACAACTGGCGGGACTGCAGCCTGCAAGCAATGCAAGCGGGAGCTCGGTCATTTAAGCCCTAAACCCTAAACCCTAAACCCAAAACCCTAGAACACACACTGGATGATGCGTTTTCGCACCACATGAGACCCGAAATCTTTTTCAGGCACCTGACCAGGTCTCTCAACCATGGCCCCTAAACCCTAAACCCTGAACCCTAAACCCTAAACCCTTGTTGGGGCAGGGGGTTCCTACTATACTTCGGTGCCTTCCTATTTTCGGAACCCCAAACCGCCTGACCTGAGGGTACAGGTTTAGGTTTTAGGGTCAGAACATTACGCCGTGCGGGCTTAGTCTAGGGTCTAGGATTTACAGTTTAGGCTTTTTGGGTTTTTGGGTTTCGGCGGTAGGAGGAGCCCTAAACCCTAAACCCTTAACCCTAAACCCTAAACCCTAACCCCTAAACCCAAAACCTCGATTTGCAGGACGGCCCTTCACTAGCCTTGGCCCGTCTTGTTCGGCAATGGGCAGCGAACAGAAGGATCGCCCGAGGCTGAGAGGTTTAGTGTTTAGGGTTTAGGGCTCAAGCTTTTGCAGGGTTTTGCGCCGATCGGTGGGGATTTTAGGGTTTCTGGTTGGCATTTTGGTGGGTGTAAGGGAGTCACCTACCGTTCGGGGAAATGCCCATAGGAGGCTGAAGGAATTGTGTGAACTCGGCTTAGGGTTTTAGAGCGTGGCCTTTGGAACATTTAAGGCTTCGGATGCTACTTTTCTTGAGCTCTCAACCATGGACTCACAGAGAGAGCCCCATTCAACCACCCTTTGGACATACTGACAGGCTCAGTAATTCATTTATGCATATGCAAGTAGGGTAAGCCCCATCGATCGGGGTCCCTGTCATAGTTAGAACTCGACTTTGTACCTACTGGCTAAGTCCCCCGATCCTTCAAGCACAAGGGTCCCTAAACCTCAAACCCCAAGCCCCAAATCCTAAACCCTAAACCCTAAACCCTAAACCCTAAAGGGGTTGCGGCCTGTGTTTCTTTTTCCAATTCTCTGGGTGGAAATTTGCAGCTCTGAGTCTGGACCAGGGGGGCTTCGTTGTTTGGGGTCTTCGGCTTTAGGACTGTTTTAAGGTTTGGGTGTTTAGGTTTTATAGGTTTTAGGGCTGGGGTTTAAACCCGCAACCCCAAAACCCTAGCATTATGCACACACACACACATACATATACGTATATATATATATATATATATACATATGTATATGTATTTATTTATTTATTTATTCATTTGTTGATTTTTTATAAACGCATATATATATGTATACTTATATACATATAAAAATATGCAATATGTATGTTTTTATATGCATGTGTCAAAGCCTCAAGCCCGCAGCCCCGAAACCCAAACACTTCCTGAAGCCCTTAATCCCCCCACACCCTAAAATATCGAGGATGGTCAGCAGAAGGGCTACCCCTCGGGTTTCGCCACGGGCTTATGTGGGGGTTTAGGGTTTAGGGTTAGTTAGGGTTAGTGTAAGCGGTACCTAGACACAAATAGGGACGATGTGAGGGGTCCCGATCTAAAATATGGACCCTTTGTTGGTACCCTAAATTCCAAAAGTAGCTGGTCCCATTCGGGTTTCGGGCTTGGGTTGACAGAACCCCCCTAAACCCTAAACCCTAAACCCTAAACCCTAAAGATCTGTCTACGTTCGGGCTTTGGGATAGGATGTGTTGAGCTGCCTCGGAGACCAGAGAAGTGGCGCAGTAGGGGGTGGGGGTGGACCTTCTTGTGACTTCTTATGCCCTTAGTAGGGTCTAGGGTTTAGGGTTTAGGGTTTAGGGTTTAGGGTTCAGGGTTTAGGGTTTAGGGTTTAGTTATGAACTCAGCAACTAAGTGCCCCTTCAAGCATGGCTAAAAACAGGTGAGGTCCTGAACCAGTTGTCTTCTTGAGGAGACTTCGGTTTAGGGTTTAGGGTTTAGGGTTTAGGGTTTAGGGTTTAGGGTTTAGGGTTTAGGGTTTAGGGTTTGCCACCGCACCGGCAGCAGCCGGAGCCGAACCCCGGCTTTTTTGCGAGGCCTGCTCGCACGTTGGACGAAAATCCCCAAACCCTAAAGCCCTAAAACCCTAAAACCCTAAAACCCTAAAACCCCAAAACCCTAAAACCCTAAAACCCTAAAACCCTAAACCCTAAAACCCTAAAACCCTAAAACCCTAAACCCGGCTTGGCCGCGCTCGCCGTCCACGAAGTTGGCTTTTGGACTTTTGGGTGAAACTGTCGGGCGCGCGTTAATTGCTGAAACCCTAAACCCTAAACCCTAAACCCTTTTGGACTTTTGGCTGACATGGCCTGTCACTGTTTGGGTGGGTACTACTGTCCCTAAGGCTCCATGTATCCTTTTTGTAGATACTTAGGGCTTAAGGTACCCTTAGAGGAACCCCTTTAAGGCCCGAGCATCTACTATATGAGTACATGGACTCTCTTGCTCTTGCTTATATAGCAGAGTCCTTAGAGTTTGGAAAGCCAACTTGTCTCTCCGTAGCCGTATATTCCTTCCAGAACCCGCAATTCAACAATCATCTCCCCCCATTTAAGCACTCCGCCATTTGTGATGGCCGCTCCAGTAAGGCATGGTGCCTCTTGGCCGTCTTTTATTGCCAAGGCGCGGAGACTTGGGTGGGTCTTGCTTGGGCAGGTTGGGGTTTGTTCTTGGGTTGTGGTCTCATGCTGTGGTAAGCCGTGTCTTCGGGCGGAAGACCCAAAACCCTCAATCCTCACCCGAGGTGTGTTCGGGTCCTGTGGCTTTGTGGGTCGTCTTGGCTTCTCTAGAACCCACACTGGGTCCTTAAACCCGAAACCCTAAGCCCTTTTCCGTGCGTTAGGTTGCCTTGTTGCTCACTAACCCTGCCGAGTTCGTGAGGCGGCCTCAGAGCTCGCCAAGTAGATTCCACTGCTTTAAGAAACCCTCCTGCTCAACTCTCAACCCTAGATCCGATGTGCATATGTATACTGTATCCTATATATCTATAACATATACCCCGAAACATACCCGCGAAACATACCCCGACCCCAACACGTGTCACGCGCCTCCCCATTAAAATACAAACCCATATACGTACACACATAAGGTGGAAAAATAGAACTAGAGCCCAAAATCCCAAGATTAGGCCATACACCCCCAATTCCCAAGCGAATCCCCAAAGCGGTGAGCATGTAAAAGACCAACAGCCCTAAATTGCATCTGCGTTTCTCACCGAAACTCGTCACCACACCCTAGGGTTTAGGATTTAGGGTTTAGGGTTTAGGGTTTAGGGTTTAGGGTTTAGGGTTTTAGGGTTGAAGGTTTAAGCCCTAACTAAAGACCCGAAATGACCAAAGGCTCATCCCCGAATTCGAACCCCGAACTCCCAGTTTACTGGCACAGATTTCCATTACCAGTATATTCATAATCGGGATACCCTAATCTCTACCCCAAACCGCAAAAACCCTAAACACCCTCAACCTAAACCCTGAACTTAAGCCCCAAGACCCTCAGCCCTCTACCTACCCCCAAAAACCCAAGCCCTCTGCCCAAGTTTAAACCTTAACCCCAACCCGAAACCCTTAACCCTAAACCGTAGCCCTAAACCCCAAACCCTAAACCCTAGCCCTAAACCCTAAACCCCAACATCCCAAACCCTACGTCAAGCACGGAGTCTCCGGTCAGTCCGCGGTCTGGCACCGCCCTTACGCCGCCTCGACCCGCGCGGCCTGTTGCGGAAGAAGGCTCCGTGGGGGTTTAGGGTTTAGGGTTTAGGGTTTAGGGTTTAGGGTTTAGGGTTTAGGGTTTAGGGTTTAGGGTTGAGGTTTAGGGTTTAGGTTTTAGGATTTAGGTTTTAGGGTTTAGGGTTTAGGGTTTAGGGTTTAGGGTTTAGGTGTTGTTTAGGTTTTAGGTTTTCGGGGTTTTAGGCTTAGGATTTGGGGTGTAGGGTTTTAGCGCTAGGGATATGTAGGTTTTACGCTTTCGTCTGCTTAGCCTTAGAGGGTTCGAGGGCTTTAGGTTTTTAGGGTGGTGTATAGTAGGGTTTTGGGGGTTTTAAGTTATAAGCGCTGCTGTGGCTTGGACCCTGGCTACACCGCCGCCTGGCCACTCTTCGACGCTGCCACTGCCCTCCACAACCAGCTCGTGCTGCCCGCCGACCATGTCCCGGTCCCTGCGCCGCCTTCTACCCGACAACAATCGTTGTCGCAGGCGCTGGATCGCGCTGTGATCGAGCAGCTCCTTGTCCCCGGCGCCGGCCGTGAAGCCTTCCGGGCCAACCTGCAACTCCAACGGCAGCCGCATGCCGGGGCGTGGCTCCATGCTGCGCCTTGTGAGGCGCTCGGCCTTGACATTGCTCCGGCCCTGTTCCGCATCCTCATCAAGCTCCGTCTTCGCCTCCCGGTCGCTGCAGCCGATGTGGCCTGCCCCCTCTGCGACGGAGTCGCTGACAGCTTCGGTGACCACGCGCTCAGCTGCCCCTGCGGCGGGGACCGGACCAAGCGACACAACCGCTTGCGCTCCGTGCTGGCGGCCCGTGCGCAAGCTGCTGGCCTTCATCCCGAGGTCGAAAGGCCCGGTCTTCTGCCGCCCCGGTCCGACCAGGACGGCCTGCCAGAAGATGCGCGGGACCGCAATGGCCGCCGTCCGGCGGACGTTTACCTTCCAAACTGGGGGGTCCATGGGCCCGTTGCCTTCGACCTTGCAGTCACCACTGGGCTGCGCTCGGGCAGTCTCCACACCTTGCTCTCGGACACTGACCGCCCTGTGACCGACTATGAAGCCCACAAACGCTCTCACCTGCAAGCGCAGGAACTGTGCAGTGCCCAGGGCATCCAATTCGTCCCTTTGGTCGTCGAGAGCCGTGGGGGGTGGGGGCCTGCTGCCATCAAAACTTGGCGGACCCTCGCTGCGGCCACAGCGGCTTGCTCCGGGGAGGGTCTTGCCGCTGAAACCAAACGGCTGTACGAGACACTAGCCGTGGCACTGCAACGCGAGAATGCCCGAGCTGTGCTCCGCCGCCAGCCCGAGCCTGCGCACGCGCCCGGGCCCGGGGCCCGGCTTGCGTCACCTTGATCCTTCTCGCCCTGGCCTCCGCTTGCGTCTGTCAAGCTCCCCCCTGCAGCTGATGGCGCTGCATCGCATGCTCACATCTGGTTGAGGCCTGTGCCCTGGGCGTCTCAACGTTGTGCCGCTTGCCAGCACCTTCCCGAGGAGAACCATCAGCCATTCGGCCAATGCCTGGTGTGCAACAGCCTTCACGCCACTCTGCACCTGCCAGAAAGGAACGCAGCATGACCTGAAGCATTCTTTGCTTGTAGGCTCGTTCCCGCATTGCCCTCAGAAGCAGGGATTCGTCGGGTTTTCGCCGCCCTCACAAGTAGCGGTAGGCGTCCCGAAGCTTCCAAAGTTATAAGGGTTGTTAGGATGGTTTTCGGGTTTAGAGAGTTCAGGGGTTAGGGTTCTGTGCTTTCGGCCTCAAAGGTGGTCTTTGGGTTGTATTGGGTTTAGGTAACGTCGAAGTTTTTTTGGCTTCTCGTTTTTGCTTCAGGTTTTTGTTGGGGGTGTAACGGTGTAAGGGCCTAAGGTTTTGGGATTTAGTGGTGCATGCGGTGGGGCTAAACCCTAAACACTAAACCCTAAACCCTAAACCCTAAACCCTAAACCCTAAACCCTAAGGTGGCGAGGTTCAGGAAAATACTCTTCGGATTCCATGATGAGCGGTTGAGCCCAGGCCCTTTCGAAGACTCTACAGCCCCATGCCTTCACGACGGCTTACTTTCGCTCACCTCTTGAAGGTTCAAAGGTGGCTACCCCATATAGCCTCAACCCGTAACCCTAAACTCCCTAAACCCTAGACTAGAACCCCTAAACCCTAAACCCCAAGCCCTAGACCCTAAACCCTAAACCCTAAACCCTAAACCCGAAACCCGAAACCCTAAACCCTAAACCCTAAACCTAGCACCCCAAAACTTAGGAGAAGCTCCCTTCGCCTGTGGCCATCAGCGAGATGGCCCTGCAGGAGGCTGCAATGGGTTTCCGGGCCTTAAGGTGTGTGGGGTTTAGGGTTTAGGGTTTAGGGTTTAGGGTTTAGGGTTTAGGGTTTAGGGTTTAGGGTTTAGGGTTTAGGGTTCAGGGTTTAGGGTTTAGGGTTTAGGGGTTCTGGGGTTTAGGGTCTCAGGCCTTCGGAGGACATGAGGTGTTGAGAGGTTAGAAGGTCTGGTTGGGGTGATGGCGCCCCTACCTAAAGTAACCTGCATGCCGATGAGATTAAGTCAGGTAAATTGTGCGCTATAGTGAAGGGCCGTCGTTCTTTTGTTTAAGGCTGTGTGGAAGAGGTACGTTGGATTGTTATGTTTTTTCAATTCGCCACCAGAAGTTTCGAAAAGACGACTCAAAGTAGTCTCATCGTCGAAGCACTTGAAATCCCCTGACTCAATTTGGAATGCAATTGTTGAGCTTAATTAACGTTTCTGCTTTTGTGCTTTTGTGTGTTTGGGATGGTTCTATTGGCCACTCAAGTCACTTAAGGGTTGAGTAGGCAGTTCAGTGTTGTTTTCGTGAGCCCGCGAAGGCAACGGCGCTGTTGCCAGGCTTCTTCGCCTTCTACACGAAGCACTTCATCTGGGCCGAAGAGGCACCATGCTTGACAAACAAGGGGTTCAGGGTTTCGGGTTTAAAGGTTTAGACCCTAAACCCTAAACCCTAAATCCTCCCTGAACCACCCTAGTTCGGGCTTATGGAGTTTAGGGTTTAGGGAAGTGGGATACAGGGTTTCTCTACACAGGGCTTAGGGCGCTCCGAGTCACCGAGAGTAACCTTTGCACCCTTGAAGCAGGGAAATGTGCCCAATACTTAGTGCTACTTTAGGGCTTAGGGTTTACTACGCCTGGTGCTACTTCACTTTTTGTCAGGAAGATATTTCGGCTACTATGGGCCGTTAGGCATGGGTGTCGATTTTTGGGGTGTCTTTCTGTCTGTAAAGAAGCCTCGAGCTGCTTGCAGGATGCGGACGGCCAGTGTCGGACTAGGATTCCGGGTTGATCCCAAACCCTCTGTCCTTAAAACAACCCTTTAAGCCCTTAAACCCTTTAAGCCCTTCAAACCCAAACCCAACCCCCCCCCCCCATACCAACAGTGCTTAGTAGTGATAATAGTACCCCCTTATGACAATCCCTATGAAGGACTGTTAGTATAAGGAGGAACATGCCTAAACCCTAAACCCTAAACCCTAAACCCTAAACCCTAAACCCTAAACCCTAAACCCTAAACCCTAAACCCTAAACCCTCAGGTGGTCTCCACACGCCTGGGCCGGCGCACTTTCCGGGCGCTGCAGCCGCAGTCCAGCCCTCAGGGCTCATGGTTTAGGGTTTAGGGTGTAGGGTTTAGGGTTTAGAGTTTAGGGTTTAGGGTTTAGGGTTTAGGGTTTAGGGTTTAGGGTTTAGGTGCATTTTGGGGCTATGAATAGCTCTTTTACTGACAACCCAATCGGGACCGTAGCTTGAACAACTCCCATATGCACCACGATTTTCTGTACCGGGCTGCTGCAAAGAACATGTGGTGCACTAGACCACCGCAAGTATTCGTGTGAACCTCTGTACCTAAACAGGACGCCCTAAACTCGATGACACTATATCTCATACCCACTAGACCCTACACTCTCAACCCTGGTTGAACCTTGTAAAAGTACACCCCAAACCCTAACCCTAAACCCCAAACCCCAAACCCAAAACCCTAAACCCCAAACCCTAAACCCTAAACCCTAAACCCTAAACCTTAAACCTTAAACCCTAAACCCTAAACCCTAAACCCTCACCCCTAAACCCTATAAACCCAAATCTTTGCGCACGAAGGCGAAGCTGGGAGGGGGTGATGTGCATCGAAGACCCCCTGGAACCTGACTCTGACTTGGCTTCTTGGCCTTCTGAAGCTTTCTTTGGGTTTAGGGTTCAGGGGTTGAGGGTTTAGGTCTTAGGGTTTGGGGTTTGGGGTTTAGGGCGGGGGAGGGCGTGGTTAGGATTTAGGGCTTTTTGATTTGTGTTGAAGGTTCACATATAGGGTTGTGTGTCCAGGGTTTGAATTCATTCCGTCCAGGGACATACATATATAGGCCAACCCTAAACCCTAAACCCTAAACCCTAAACCCGTGAGCCCTCGAGTCGCCGCCACTACTTGAACTGAACGCGCCGGTGGTTGTCTAGCCAAGTTGAACAATTCCCAGACGGTCGGTTTGTAAACCTTAAAACCTCTAAAGCCGCACGCCCTACACCGCTGAAGGGTTTAGGGGGTTTAGGGTTTAGGGTTTAGGGTTTCCAAACCCAGAACCTTGCAGACACATCAGCTGCAGGCGGCTGCGTACCTTTCTCTGAGTCGCGATCGGCGTGTTCGTGCCGAGTTCCGGCGCGCGACTCTCAACACAGGGCCTTACACAGAGCTTTCGGAATAGACCTTAAAATGCATGCAGGGATCCAGAATATGATTCAAGGTACATTTCTCTAGTTAAGGGGTATTGGGCTCTTTGGGCACTGGGGACCGGAGGAGCTCCTGTTCCTGTTTTGGGTGTTGAGTTCCCTTATACGCCCTTTTAGACCCAAAAGGGTACCCTTGCATTCCGAGGGTACTGTTGGGTCGAGGTTAACCTGCAACATGATCCCCTTGTATGCGTCGTACAGGTTGTAATGGGGAAACTACCCTCAAACTACCCACTCGAACTAAATATATGGGCACCTCCACAGTACGCCTAGGAAATTGCCCTTGATTGGTCTGTTATTGTTGCTTTTTGTTGCTTGGATTGCGCGTGTGTATGTGTGCTTGTGTCAGTGGGACTAGTTAAAAGTGGCGCTCAAGAAGGCCCCCTCTGGTGTACCATGAATTTGCCTGAGCATCTCTTGAGCCATGTCTGTGTACAACTGTGTCCCCGCACCGCCCTCAGAAGTAGGTGTGAGTGAGGTCTTCGTTCCATTTGCAATGTGTGTCTTCTCGCATCACCCTCAGATCCTATGTAGGATAAGGGGGACCCTTGAAAGGGCACCCTCTCCCTAATCCCATCTCCTATCAGAAGTAGGTGTGAGGCCGTCTACTGTTTTGTATAGCAAATTGGGGTGCATTCCTGCTGTTTTTGCTACCTGGCAAGCGGAGTTGAGAGCCAGTCTTTTTAGGGTTTAGGGTTTAGGGTTTAGGGTTTAGGGTTTAGGGTTTAGGGTTTAGGGTTTAGGGTTTAGGGTTTAGATTTTGTTGGCTGTCACCTTTTCGCTCTCTAGCTGCCGCAACATGCACGACCCGGCTGCATGAAGGCAGGCAGCCGTACATAAGGACACGAACTTCCTTCGGCTTTCTTCGGCATGTCAAAGACTGCATGTGTTATCTACCCTATAAGCCCTATGCCCTAGACATTGCTAGCAACCCTAGACCCTAAACATTGCTAGCAAACCCACGCGTGCCCCAATGCCTAACTCTGAATCTGATCCAACACCCACCAAAGGTGCGAACCGCCTTCTTCGACTAGGCGACCCTTGCCCGTGCTGCAACGGGACCCCAACCCTCATGGGTTACGGGCTAGGGTAGACTAAACCCGTAACCCTTGATCCTAAGTGTTGATTTTGGGGGAACATGCTTGGGTGTGAGACTTGCTTGAGCCCTCCTTTTTTTCCCAACTCGTTGGTTCTGAGGGACTTTCCTCTTGGGTGTCAGGTTCGGGGATCCTAGCTCCCAGCTCCGAGGGTTTTGTTGTTGCATGAATCCTGAGGTAACGTCTTTGTGGTACTTTACTGTAACTTTAGAGCCTTAGCCTTTTTGGGTTTATTGGGTTTCTTAATAATAAGGCAGCTACATTTTTTTTTTAAGCTACCCTTCTGAGTGTAGCCAAGACGTGTGCTTCTTCCAGCGTGAGAGTTGTGAGTCCCACGGTGCAGCCGGTAATCCGTAGAAACACCAACGCTCGCAAGAAACCAGTCGCCGAGTTGGGATGTCCCCCCCCCCCCCTTTTTCTAGCAGTCCTTAATAGGGATTATAGTATAGTACCCCCTATGATAGTTCCTGTTAAGGATACTAACAGTCCTTAATAGGGATTCTAGTACCCCCTATTATAATCCCTACCAAGGGCAGTATACGGATGACCATCCCAGTCCCAGGTTATAATCCCTATGAAGGACTGTTAGTAGGTATGAGGTTTGTGTGACTTAAAACCCTAGAGCCCGAAACCCTGACATCTAAACCCTAAACCCTAAACCCCAAACCCTATACCCTAAACCCTAGCCCCTAACTCCCCTCGCCCCTTCAACCGCGAGCCTTTGCACTGGAAGGTGCAGCTGCCGGGCATTCCAGCCAGACCGGCCTTTGGGCGCGGTCCTTGAGGGTTATCGGGTCATGTATAGGGTGTAGGGTTTAGGGCTTAAGGTTTTGGGTTTAGGGTATAGGATTTTGGGTTTAGGGTTTATAGGGTTTTTAGGGTTTGTAGGGTTTGTAGGGTTTATAGGGTTTATAGGGCTTGTAGGGCTGAAAGGGTTTAGAGGGTTTATAGGGTTTAGAGGGTTTATAGGGTTTATAGGGTTTATAGGTTTATAGGGTTTACAAGGTTTACAAGGTTTATAGGGTTAAGGTTTAGGGTTTAGGAGTTTTGAAGGTTTACAGGGTTTAGTGTTTAGGGTCATTGGGTTAGTAGGGTTAAGGGTTGATATGGTTTAGGGTTTACACTGATAGAGTGATAGGGTTACAAGGTTACATGGTGAGAAGCTTCAGGGTTTTCTGTTTTTGGATTGGGGATGTTCGGGGTGTGGTTTTGATTGCCTCCAAACATAATAGCTATCAGAGGAATGAGCGGCACATAGACAGACACGGTTTCTCGGAGGGCTCGAGGTCAAAATGAACACCTTCCTCGTTGCGCAGGGTCCTACCTGTGCAAGGTTTCACATGCGTTGGAGAGACTCGCCCTTTAGCAGGTCGACTAATGCCCTAAAGCTAAGCCCTAAGCCCTAAACACAAACCCTAAACTCTAAACCCTAAACCCTAAACCCTAAACCCTAAACCCTAAACCCTAAACCCTAAACCCTACACCTACGCACCTGAACCAGGCCCGCCTTTGTCAAGCCGTGGGGCCCACAAGGTCAAGTGCTTCCGCGCGCGCAAGGACATCTGAGGGCACGAGGCCGCCGGTGGGGGGGGGGGGGTTAGGGTTTAGGGTTTAGGGTTTAGGGTTTAGGGTTTAGGGTTTAGGGTTTAGGGTTTAGGGTTAGGGTTTAGGGTTTGGGGTTTCGGGTTTCGGGTTTGGGGTGCAGGGTTTAGGGTTTGGTAGTGGGAGTCCTAATATGTTCCTGGTTTCGGGTTTGCACGTCGGCAACTTCAAAGGCATTCAGAAAATGTGGAGATATTGGTGAACATCGACACTTGCTTGGGCCCGTACATTTTCTATCCCTAAACCCTAAACCCTAAACCCTAAACCCTAAACCCTAAACCCTAAACCCTAAACCCTAAACCCTAAACCCTAAACCCTACACCAAACCCTTTTTTTCGGCTACTCAGACTTACGCAGCCAACCTGTGCTGTGGGCTCTAAGCAGCTTTGGCTATCCTTTCGCAGGTTTAGGGTTTAGGGTTTTAGGGTTTAGGGCTTAGGGTTTAGGGTTTAGGGTTTAGGAAGTTTAGGGTTTAGGGTTTTTTGGGGTCTGGGTTGTTGGACAAGTAAGCAGAAGAAGGCTTCCATCAAGCACTGAGGACCTCGACTCCCGCTGGAGTTACGTCAGCTACCTGAACACGGCCCCCCCCTTCGCCCAGCAGTTTCTCTTGGCGTTGGACCAAAGCTTCAGGCGAGGGTTTGCGGTTTCGGGTGGTTTTTTTTGCTTGGGCCCCCTCGGACCAAATGAACCCGAAGTTTGGGATCATATATACCCTATACTACTAATTCGATGAGAAAGGCATCTGAACCAAAACCCGTTTAGGGTTGAGTTGGTCCCAAAGGTTTGAGGGGCGACCAGATAGTTCATAGCGCGCCCTGTAGAGCAGAGGAGCTTTTCGACTATCTGCTTAAGAACCCAGCAAAAACACAAGAAAGAATAATTTTGATAGTTGTGAGGGGTTTAGCGGGCATCCAAGTCACTTGAAGGACAAGAAAGTACAGCCCCAATTTGGCCGTGGGGTGGTTTGTAGGAACCTTTCCGGGGATCGAATCTGCTTTCGAGGTCCTACTCCCAGTGGTTTGGGTTACTTGATGACTTAATTGTCTTGTGTTCGATGCGGAAGCAGCTACTTGAATGCTTTCTTCTCTTGTTCGGGACGTCAACCTTCAGCCCCGAAGCCCTAAAGCGCTAAAGCCCTGAACCCAAACCGCAAACGTCAGGTGGGTCGTGTCGCCCAACCGAACCCACCCCAAACCCGAATCCCCGAAACCTTAAGCCCAAAGCCCGAAACCCAACTACCGCCCACAAAGGGCGAAGGGGGGGGCGTGGGGGGGAGAGGGGAGTGATATACCCTACACCCCAAACCCTAAGCCCTAAACCCCAAACCCCAAACCCCAAACCCCAAACCCAAACCCCAAACCCTAACCTAATATAGGCCACCCTACCTGGGGACTTCCCGCCTGAACCTTAAGCCGAAACATGCCCCAAGCTTCCACACGGATCATGCCCCAAGGGTTTTGAGAGTTGGGTTTAGGGTTTAGGGTTTAGGGTTTAGGGTTTAGGGTTTAGGGTTTAGGGTTCAGGGTCTAGGGTCTAGGGTTTAGGGTTTAGGGTTTAGGGTTTAGGGTTTAGGGTTTAGGGTCTAGGGTTTAGGGTTTAGGGTTTAGGGTGCATAGGGTGCATAGGGTGTATAGGGTGTGTAGGGTTTATAGGGTGTGTAGGGTTTATAGGGTTTATATAGGATGTAGGGGTTGCGGAGCTCGGTGAAAGAAACCAGCTGCCGTTCCCACATCCCCGCAGGATCCAGCTTAGGGTTTAGGGTTTAGGGTTTAGGGATTAGGGTTTTTAGTGATACTTGCTTTGAGTCACGCTATGTCCTCGATCGCGTTGCACGTGGCCTTGCTAAGTGGCGAGCAGAAAGCCTTTTCTCTGACACCCCACTCTACCGTCGGCGAGCTGAGGGAGGTTGTTCAGAAGGAGTGGCAGAAACCCATCGGGAAGCTGATAAGTGCCTCAGGAGCCCGCTTGTTGGAGTCGGCTACACTCACGCAAGCGGGCATCAGAGAAAACGAGGTGATCACCGCCATCATCCAAGATGTCTCTGTAGCAGCCACAAGGGACGCATTTGCCGCGATCCGCGCGAATGGCACCGTAGTGACATGGGGATGCCCAGACTCTGGCGGCGATTGCAGCGCAGTGAAGAACCAGCTGCAGAATGTGCAGCGAATCCAAGCAACATGTGGTGCTTTTGCCGCCATCCTGGAAAATGGTTCAGTAGTGTCTTGGGGGCACGCGGACTTAGGTGGAGACAGCTCCGATGTGCAAAGCGAGCTCCAGGGCGTGTGCCAGATTCAAGCTGCACATGCTGCTTTCGCTGCAATCAAGGTGGACGGATCTGTAGTGACCCTTAGAAGCCCAGTGGTGCCTTTTACCCTTTTGTTTGTTCTGGGTTCCCTGATAAAGTATAACCAACCCCAAAAAGGGTGCCCATATTGTCATATGGTTACTGGGCTACCAAGGACCTGGGGAGCGCCGAATTACGGAGGCGACTGCAGTGCTGTGCGCGACCAGCTTGCCAGCGTGCAGCACATCCAATCCAGCCTCGCGGCTTTCGCGGCCCTTCGGGCAGATGGACGGGTGGTGACGTGGGGTTCAGGCTACCTTGGTGGTGACAGCTCCGATGTGCGCGATGAGCTGCGGGATGTCCTGCAAGTCGCTCCCATCTTTCCTTTCGGTTTTGCCGCAATCAAAGCTGGAGGTAGAATTGTATGCTGGGGCGGCATGTTGTACCGTGGTGTGCATCAAACTGGGCTGGACAGCATTGCGCACTTCCAAGCCAATAGCGCGCGATGGGCTGCTGCCACAGAACAGGGGCGCCTGGCCCTCAGCCTTCGAAGCCATGGCCAGGGGTGCCTGCAGGTGCCGGACGGTGCAGCCAGCATTGTGTCCTGCACATTCGACACAGTCGCGATACTTCAGAAAGATGGAACGGTGCAGTTTTGGGGGTGCTCTGTCCCAGAGCAGCTCAGGAAGAAATTAACAAGCGTTGTCCGACTTCGATGTGGACCCGGTGACTATGCCATGTGTGCGGCGATCCGATCAGATGGATCTGTTGTGGCCTGGCAGTACTCGGCGCGGGGGGCCCTGTCTGTTAATGGTCGTAAATGCGAGCAGCTGCAGAATGTCACTGACGTGCAGGTGACCCGCGGCGCTTTTGCGGCACTTCGGACAGATGGGACCGTCGTTACGTGGGGGAGTGCTGATTCTGGCGGGGACAGTGCCAGCGTTCAGGGACAGCTGAAGAACGTGGTACGCATTCAAGCAGGCCATGCAGCCTTTGCTGCCATCCGTTCTGATGGATCCGTGGTATCATGGGGTGACCCGGTGTATGGAGGCGACAGCAGCCGAGTTCGAGACCAGCTGGGCCAAGCGTGGGTGGAGACCGAGGCAGCGAAGCCACGACCCCGCGTCAGCAAGCCGAAGGCCAAGCCTGGAGTCCTCAAGAAGCCGTCAAAGAGGCAAACAAAAAAACCTTTGCCGGATTCCGAGGGGTGTCCTTGCGCCTACATCGGGTAGAATATGGGGGGGGGCTTTAATAATTAGAATAGGGTTTTTCGTAGCTATTCCGACCCCTATCTTATGAGCTTGTAGGGTACTCCCAATACAGTGACATCATGGCTTCGATCGTGGCTTCGGTCCTCAGTATCCTACTGAGATGTATGGGAACACTGCCCCCGAAACCCGAACCACCCACTCCTGTTGCTACGCAGTTTTTTCACACTTTCCAAAGTTCCACAGGCAGATGTTCGAAAGGATGTTGCCCAGCAAGGAACTGACTCCCGTCTGCATCGAGTCGGTGAAAGGGAGGGAAACCCAAGACCCCAAACCAGGCCCTAACCCAAAGAACTCCAGCCCTGTTTCCTGTTCCAATTATGCTAGTGATGTCGCCGCATTAATTCGGTTGCATAAAAACCCCTACCCTAAAGCCTAGAAACCCTAAGCCGCGCAGGCCCTTAAACCCCAAACCCATTCTCGCCGTCAGGGTTCGGGCACGCAGGCCACACGGCTAAAACCTGTCGGACCCCAACCATCACTGATTTCCAACAGCACGTATTATTTTGGGGGTGTACGAAGATAGGGGGACCCGCAGTGTAGATCCAAGGAGAAGGATCCCCTTAGAATAAGGACCTCAACAGGGTACCCTTAATTTCCTACACCCTAGGCCCAAAACCCTGAACCCCAATTTGGGTTCACGGTTTATAGGGTTAAAACCCTATAGGGGGCTCGGAAGAGCCGAAATGGTCGGGCAAAACCGGAGCATCCGAAATGACCGAATGTGACGTTGGGCTGTGGGTTCTGAATGGAATAGTCCATGTCGGACATTGAGGGGGGGAGGGGTTTTAAGTGGGGTTCCGAGTGTAGGGCTCCCACCTTTCATACTCGAATACCATATACCTTAAGCCGTATACAAAGAAGACCCTTATACAAACCCCGAACTCTAAACCCTTTTGGGGTTCGCGGCGAAACCCCAAGACTCAGCGCTCAGGTAGCGGCGGCACGAAGCAGGCTGGGCAAGGTGAGCAAAGTCCAGCTGATCATTGTTATAGGGTTCAGCATATCTAAGGCTTGTGCAGGATGTTTAAGAGGCTCTGTTCTTTCGGGACTGACTTGTTTTAGGACTTCGCTGACTTGCGTTTCACCTCTGGTCTGGGTGGTGCTTGTACCTTGTTCTTAACGTTGTGAAAAAGGGAAAGACCGAATCAGAACATGAGGTAACGAGTATTGCCATCAGTATTGCCCTCTCCTGATTGGGCCATTTTGTGCTTTGCTGACGTGCTAGTGGCTTCTTCTTCCACGTTGCTTGCAGTGACATCGAGAAAACCTCAATCAACAAAAAGTTGTTGCCCGGGAGGCCTAAGCCCTACACCCGACAGGTAAGTGAAACAGGGTTTATGCTACTGTTATTGGTGAGTGTATATTACATACATATACATATATATATATATATATATATTGGGTGTCCTTTTGGGGATACAAGGAATATAAACCCTACTTCATGTAGCCCGTCGCCAGTCACTGAACCATTGGGCCCTCGAGCACTGTAGCAGCCGGCGCATGCACTTACGCTTTAGGGTTTAGGGTTTAGGGTTTAGGGTTTAGGGTTTAGGGTTAGGGTTTAGGGTTAGGGTTTAGGGTTTAGGGTTTTTAGGGTTTAGGTTTAGGGTTTAGGGCTTAGGGTTTAGGTTTAGGGGTTAGGGTTTAGGGTTTAGGGTTTAGGGTTTAGGGTTTAGGGTTTAGGGTTTAGGGTTTAGGGTTTAGGGTTTAGGGTTTAGGGTTTTGGCGTGCGTCGTCGAGGCTAAGCTTCTCCAAGTAAACCTTGCACGCCAAACCCCTAAATTGGGATGTGTGTTTCTTGCTTATTGCTTGTTTGTCTTGCTCACAGCTTCCCTAAGCCCTTACCCAAAGGATCCATGTACCTATATGGTATATACCTGGGCCCTAAAGCTACGATATAGGAACCCCTTTAAGGCCCAAGTATATATCATATAGGTACATGGATCCTTTGGGTTAGACTTAACCTGAAACCGCCAAATTGGAATAGACAGCTAGCCTTGGCTGCATCTCCGCAGGCCAGGTAGCACATCATCGACGTCCGTTGCTGCGACAGGACCATTCAGTTCTCACTCCTCGCAAGGCCCGGGGTTAGGGGTTCAGGGGTTTTTTGGGGTCTTAGCGTGTTAGGGTTTAGGGTAGAGTGTTGAACATTGAGTTTCTGAGTTTTTCTCAGCTCTGAATGTACTAAATAATGGGCTGTCGGTGCAGGGCTGTTCTAACTGGTCTTGCTGCTTTCGACTTTGGAAAATGAGATCCGAAGCCCGTTTGACATGAATCCTACACCCTAAACCCTACACCCCGAACCCCGTTTGACATGATGGGCTGAGGGTTCAGGGCTTGGGGAGGCTCGGTGCCTCGGGTGCAGAGGGTGCCAATACTTTCCAGTTCAAAGGCTCTAGCATCTGAGCCACCTTCCAAAGGCACAAGAATATAATCAATATTTATTATATTTAAAAAAAAGAATCTACAATAACGCAGATATACATATATATATATATATAGATGCAAATGTCCACACATTTTTCTAGAGACTCTGATAGAGCAAGTAGAGAAGGACAGCTCGCAACTGGCACTTCCGTTTCCAGGAGAGCTGCGGCGGCGAGTCCTAGATGAGGAGCCCATTGTGCAGACAGACCCTAAGCCCTAAACCCTAAACCCTAAACCCCAAACCCTAAACCCTAAACCCTGAACCCTGAACCCTGAACCCGAAACCCTAAACCCGGTTCAAGGTTTGCTGCGAGTTGTGCTTTTGGGCAGTTAAGGTAGTACTAGCTGTTGTTTGCGTGGGGTTTAGAGTTTAGGGGCATGTTCTGCAAGCCTACCCTGAACCCTAAACCCTCATAAGCTCAGGGGGATCATTAAGCCTAGGGTATTTTTTAAGGGGTAGTAGTAGTAGAGGGGGTAGTAGGGAAACCCATGATAAACGCTGACTTACCGATGTGCATGGCGAGAGTTGAGGGCATCGGGGACTTCGAAAGTGGTTAGGAAGCGAGGTTCCTAAGTAGGATACCCTACACCCTAAACCTAAACACTAATGTAGCCCCAATTAGGGTCCGTTTAGGGCACTTGAAACTTTATGTTGTATGTTCCTGCTCCAGAGTTCAGGCCATCTCCACATGCTTCTTTTAAGGGTGTGTAGGCAGGGCTCGCGGGCTTCACACCCTGCACCCTAAATCTTCATCCCTAAACCCTAAACCCTCAAGGACTATCTTTTTGAATCCGCTCGCCCTTTCCGGCAACCTGGGCCAACATGTCAAGCCCCGCCAACCCAACGCAAACTTTAAGCTCAAACTCAAAGCCCTGAACTTTCAAAGCCTAAGTCCCAAACCCAAACCCCTAGACCCTAGACCCTAGACCCTAGACCCTAGACCCTAAACCCTAAACCCTAAACCCTAAACCCTAACCCTAAATCCTAACCCTAAACCCTAAACCCTAAACCCTAACCCCCCCCCCCTCCCCATGTACTCTCCATCTGCTGGAGCGTGCCCGCACGCGCGCCTTGCGCTTCCGCCTTCCTTGGGGGTCCTGCCGGCCCCAGTGGCCCACCATAGCCACCGAGTGCGCCAGAAGGAGGCCCTACATCCTAATGTTTGGGTTTTAGGGTTCAGGGTTCAGGGTTTAGGGTTTAGGGTTTAGGGGCTTCTGCGGCTTTAGGATTCTAGGGTTTTTGCGTTTGGGGTTTGTGCAGTTTTCAGGTTTTTTGGGTTTAGGACTTGTGTAGTTTTCTGCCTCTATGGTTTGGGGTTTGGGTTGCACAGTACCATGATGGAACGAGGTACGCGAAGACAGTGAGTTTTGTGTGTGTGGGCACCTACTTGCATAGCACTACTGTAACTGGACCCTTTGAGTCCACACGGTATCTTCGGCTGAGGGTCCTTAGGGTTTAGGGTTTGGGGTTTAGGGTTTTGGGTTTAGGGCCACAAATTCCAGCAATTTGGGCTTGCATGTAGGCCAGGGCAGGGAACCTGCCAAAAGGGCTGATAACTTAACTTCTAAGGGTAGTGTCATTGGCCCTTAATGTGGTTCCTTGCCTCCTTTGAAGGGTTCTGAAGTAAGGGCCCTTGGGTTTTACTGGTATATAAAGGGGGATCCCCCTTTAAGGGCCCATAATAAGGGACCATGCAGCTACCCTAAGATAGTAGGAGGCCCACGGCTTCTTAAGGGGAGATCCCACAGATGGCCCCCCCGAAGACCCGAACCCCCTCTCGCGAACCCCAGGGTTGAAGTGCTCAAAGTTTCCCTCTTTTCCCCTGTGGGTTTAGGGTTGAGGGTTCAGGGTATAGGGTTTAGGGGTTTAGGGTTTAGGGTTTAGGGTGTGGGTTTAGGGTTGAGGGTTTAGGGTTTCAGGGGGTCGTGGTGGGTTTGCACTTCAGGTGGATCGTGTCAGGTTCGCGGTTCAGGGGTTTAGGGCTAAAGGTTAAGAGGGCTAATGTTTTGGGTTTCCTTCTTCCTCCCAATGGTTAGGGTCATGGTGGATTTAGGTTCTAGGCTCAGGGTTTAGGGTTCAGGTTTGGCCCTGAGGTTCGTGGTGGTCTTAGGGTGAAAGGTTTGCATCGAAACAGAGCTAAGGTTCCCCCCCCCTTCCCCCCCTCCCCCTTCGAAAACCGAACCTGAACCCCGCTCGCCCCCCCGCGATCCCCGAAACCGAATCAGGCAGGGGCGCTTACTGCAGTACCTGATGCGGTGATGACTCTAAAACAGGGGCCGCTTCCCCAAAAGGGGCCATAGTTTAGCGAAATCACCAGCTCTTACTAATCTAGCCCTAAACCCTAAACCCCAACCCCCCCAAACCCTAAACCCTAAACCCCGAACCCCCAAACCCTAAACCTTAGTTTAGCCCAGGGGGCTCCCCCGTGAAGTTTCGCGGCAGGTGGGCCAAAGCTGCCCGCTCTTCGTGGCCGCCATGATCTCTTCAGGCGTCGGCGTTTTGGATGATCTGTATTCCTTTTGGCGTGGCGGGG